TTAGTACCTACGCATGGGGTGCGGTGGACGGCGTACCTTGTCGTCGGCGGTGCCGCCGCCGGGGAGAAGAGGGAGGGGGGACGACGAGAGCGCGCGCGGGCGGAGGCAGGAACCGATCTCTCTGCTTGGTCGTCGCGGGCGGGCGGGCGGGGGTGGCTTTGGTTGGTTCCGTGGGCGGCTTTGGCTTTCTGTCGATCTTTTGACGCTCTCGCGCTCTCGCGGCGGCGTGGTCCGAGGACGTATTCAATTTCGCGCTGCAGCTTTCGCCGCCGAGGGTTTGCGACTTTGATTGGCCCGAACGTGGGGGCGTGCGCGCCGGCCGGCTTGGCCCCTAGACACGGGGGTGAGGCCAAACCAGTAGCAGTAGAGGCCGGACCGGACCGGTGCATGCATGCATGGCATTTGTTTGCACTAATAAAAAGAGAAAACGACCCACGTGATATCACACACAGGCCTAAGGAAAAAAAAAACGTGAAACCACACACACGCGCACCCACTCACCACACCACTGCTCCTAGAAGTCAAGTCATGCTCCCTCGCCAAAGGCTGTTGGATCAGCCAGCTTGCCTTCAACGCTCCTCCTCTCGGCTCCAACCGACGGCCAGGCCATGGCAGTCAGCCAGTCGCCACCTGTCCGGCACAGAGAAAACCGTGTGCTTATATGGATGTGGCCGTGCCAAGGTGCGCTATAGGCGGCCACGCGCCTCCCGGAGAGAGCCGGCTCCGGCGGCCGGCGCGGCGGATCTTCGAACCCTCACGCCGTGTTGATGCAGCGATCAGAAACTTCAGAGGTGAGTGTCTTTTCAGACTTCGAGCGCGAGGCGCACCTTAGTCCTCAGCTGCTGCCGGAGGCAGAGGTGATGTGTCGATCCCCCGCAAGAAAAGAAGAGGTGATGTGTTGACGTGTCGTACGTGCTCCCTCCTCCTCGCAGTGTGGGGGCCATCGGCGAATCTATTGCGGAATCCGAACTGCGTATCTCTCATCTTCACGCGTTCACCATAGTCTGAATGTTTATCGGAAGAAACACTAATTATAGTCTGAATGTTGCCGCACATACTTTTGCTACTTGCTAGGTCTCGTGGATTTTCAACGTTTTTCTATAGGAGTACTTTCATCATGTCCTCTGTGCTTCTGTAATGTGTCGGAAACTGTTCTGCTCTAAAAAGCTTTAAAAAGCACCCCGTCTCAAAATAAATGTCTCGATACTTATTTTGAGATGGAGGGATTAACTTTTGATCTCTGATCTTTTCTAGAGCATCTTGAATATCTTTTTATCATGAAAATTTACACACAAATAGAACTTGTGACATGAAGGTGTCTTGACTATTTTTTTCCAGTTTTACTACTGGCGAGATTTGGTATCAGTTGCTTCGGATCCATTCAAGGGTTCAACGACGACAACTGCAACTCTAGGCGTTGGTCTTTAGAGCATTACTAGAAGAACCCTCAAGCCCTCAAACCCTTATAGCAGTTTTAAGGGTTGAGAAGTGCCAGTTTTTGACACTTTTAAGGATTGAAAAACAGGGGCAAAGACTAGAACCCTCAAACCCAACCCGTAAACTGCTTTAAGGGGTTGGATTTGAGGGTTCTAGTCTTTGCCTCAACCCCAACCTTTAAAACTGTCATTTCATATATCACACATTTCATCACATTTCATCATATGACATATCACAAATTCCTGAAAATTGGTTAAGTCTTAGAATTGTTCCGTTTTTTTAAAACTTCACTTGGTTGTTTTCCGAAGGCTATAACTAATGTTATGTATTTCTAATGAAGACACTACATATAAGTGTTTTACTCTACACCAACAGTACTACAAGGCCATGCCACTAGATGGCATGAACAGCTCCTGCAACAGGTCCATTTACAGCTCTGAAGTAGTGAAGACAGTAAATCTGTTTTTCAGTTTCCTCTCTTAACAGAACATAGACTTTTGTCATTTTTATAGGAATTAAACCATGGCGTATTTGAATTTGGTCCAATGGAATAATTTGGAGGTTGTCATGTGTACTCCCCATACAAATTAATTTCAACGAAGTTAGACTTTGTTTGACCATAGGTTTGTTGCCATCCAGAGAGCTAAGCAGGTAGAAATAGCAAAAGCTAGCCAGCGCTACAGTAACATTCAGTTACTGTAGCAGCGGCAGCAGAGTAGCGAAACGCAGCGGCAGGAACGGCGGCAAGCGCGGGCACGAGCGGCCGAGCGCGTGTGCGGACGGGCAAGGGAGGCCACGGCGGTCGGGCACAGCGGCTAGCGGCGCACGGCATAGGGACGAGGACGTGCAGGGGCGTGGCCATGAGCGCGAGGGGAGGGGCGGACAGGCAAAAGCGAGCGAGGCGAGGGACAGCAGCCGTAATGGGCGAGGGAGGGGCAGGGCGGGAGCCGCGGCCGGCGGGAGGGCAGGGCGGCGGCTCGGCTTGGACCGCTTGGG